TTCATACATTTTATTAATATTTAATCTTTTTTTTTTATGATGTGTTGCGTGCGATTTTAATTATATTTTTCAAGCAATTGTTTCATCCCTCTAAAATTTTGTAATGTACAATACAGAATTGATATTACAGTTATTCCACATAATACTTTATCTCGTGTGCCACATTTTAAATAAATAGGAACATTATCTTCACACTGTTTGAATAAATGAAATATATTTCCGTATAGACGATCGACTTCAATTTACGTACATTACATTACTTTATATTCGACGTTGAAATAGTTATATTTACCTGCATCTTTGCTTGTTTTAATTTCAAGTCTTGAAATCTTTTATCGGAAATTAAGCATGACTGCCCCGTGCAAATTAATCGATGTAGCGGGATAATATTCTTATTAAAAAATTTTGGTCGAACAACAATCTGTAAATTAAATATATCGAAATTATGTAATGTTATTAATTCCTATATTGAGGAAATATTATACAAACTTTTATCATGATAAACTTTTTGAAATAATATGTATGTAATGCAATAGGAAAAAATATCATTTTATTAAAAATTGTTGAAAATTGTAATAAGTAGAAGAAAATAGATTCAAAAATATTTACATACGAATAACATTTTGTGATATTCTTGAGGCTGTGATCTAAAACTCTGTTCAATATATTTTTATAATACTCATACGATGTCTAATTTCATACGAAAAAAATTGAAAAGCATTAACACGCGACTGCGTTATTCAAATTCGCGCGGATGCATTATACTCGGATTGCAGAGAAGTGCAATTGTCTTTTATTATTACAAGGTTGGCGAAACTGAAACATAGTTTACCTAAATGGTGGGACAAGAAACGCATGCGTACTCGTTTCGCAACGCAACAGTCGTAAACAACATTTTTTCCATTTAGATTTCTCACCAGTTTATACTTGCACGATAATTAGAGCGTCCAGGTGGACGCACTACGATTTTTCTGCGTTTTCGCACGATTTCGCGGAAAAAATGGGGTCGAGCTTGCACACTCAGTGTACGTGATACGTAAACTTATGGGTTTTTGGCATGCGGTGACGTCATCCGGATCGTTCTGGAAGAACCCTGCAGGACAATAATGGCGGGTATGTATTTACGTCGACGAAGGAAACATTGATTGTTAACCGAACGAAATATCATCAAAAATCTAATGTATTGCGATCCTTCTGGGGTTTCAGATTTGTATGCCAAATACAATTGCACCTATTGTCAAGAGGACATCTCGGGTTTACGAGTAAGATGTGTTGAATGCCCGGATTTCGACCTCTGTTTGCAGGTGAGACGAGTGAACGCCTGTTTCTCAGTCACGTGTCCGCGTCTCTTTTACCCCCTCCTCACCCTCCTGCCCTATCTCCATCACTTCTTCGCCTATCCTTCCGGTTGTGCTGGATTTTGCGTGTTGAGATTCCTTTTTAAGTCCCCACCCTTTTTTTGTCGACAAGTTATTCTGTAACTACCCTACTACTACTTCGTAACATGAATGAAACCGCTGATCGCAAGAAAACACGTGCATGCATACGTCATTTTCGTTGATTTAATGTAATAACATCAACATTTCGCGGAAAGTGTCGCAACTGTCAGAGAGAACTTAATTTTTTTAAATTTGACAGTGTTTTTCCGCTGGAGCTGAAATCGGTCCACACAAAAATGATCACCCTTATCAGTTTATGGTGAGTGCTAAATTAAATATTTAAATATATGGAATAACTCTTCAGGTTAGAAAAATAATTAAGGTTTATTTATAGGATTCTGGTACCATTAGCATATTTAATGGTAGAGGAAACTGGACTGCTAGGGAACAGCTCAGACTGTTGGATGCTATTGAACAATTTGGTTTTGGAAATTGGGAAGATATTAGCAAACATATTGAAACACGAACACCTGAAGGTAAAGTTGTTAACTACTAATTTGTTATATTCACATCTTGCACTTCTAATATTATGATTGTAAAATATTAAACACTCTCAATAAAAAAAAAAGACAAACATATTTTAAACTAAATATTTAAAAAATTTATATTGAAAATTAGAAAATTATTTTTTCACAGATGATATACATGTACAATTTATTTCATCATTGCAGAAGCAAAAGAAGAATACATTGCCAGATATCTTGATGGCAATATTGGGAAACACACATGGCCTCCAACAGAAAGCTACAAACCAAATCTAACAGATCAAACTAAGTCAGATCATGGACCCCTGTCACCTGATCTTACATCTCGATTACCACCTCTGGATATCACTCCAGAGGAAGCTGCACAACTGGGATACATGCCACAAAGAGATGATTTTGAAAGGGTCAGCTTTAAACCTTTTTTATTTACTGTTATATGATTTACAAATCTGTTCTATAATGTCAGAATCTTACTTACAGGATTATAACCATGAAGCAGAATCACTTGTTTCTTCATTATTTTTAAATCCAGCAGAAGATGATGATTTGGATATAGCGCTTAAACTTGCACAAGTT